TTATCAAGACAAGAACGCTCTTATAAAACTAAGCTACCGACAGTTTTACGCCGTCTAGAAATAAGAACAATTTTTCTTCTTTACGTTTAGAATCTTATTTTTCACGACGCAGCATCGAATTGTGTACTGGATTAAGACCCAATCTGATATTGTTTTTAACTTTTATTTCAATCAAATTTTTAATGTAATCGTTAAATTTCACCTCTTCTTGATAAGCATACCTAGCATTTTAGAATTTTGAATACGTTCATGATTGAGTGGTACCATAGAACTAGATTAATCTAATCTTTGAGAAAAAAATCACAATTGAAATATTTGTGGAATTAGACGTTTGATGGAGCGTAGTAGCTCTAAAATTTTACTTAAGAGTTTCACACAAGTGTTCAAATTATTCTCTTTCTAACAACACTTCCGTAATGAAGTTTAGTGCTTCTAGGAGGACAGCGGCAGTATGTTGCATCCTTTCCTGAACGTCCACGCTGTCCGACTGTTCCCGGTTGCCCATCATTCCCTTTCGCTCCAGGCATACCCGGCTGACCAGGTGGTCCTTGTGGTCCCCTTGCTCCTGGCATCCCTGGTTTTCCCATTGGGCCAGGTTTTCCCATTTCTCCGCGCATTCCTGGAGGACCTGGTAATCCCCTTGCGCCAACGCCTCTTCTTCCATCTTGGCCTTTTTGTCCAGGTGCTCCATTATTACCGCGCTGACCATCTTGTCCTCTATCCCCAGGTGGTCCTAAAGGTCCAGGTCTGCCGTTATTACCAAGATGTCCTGGCATTCCTGGTCTTCCATCGGGGCCACGGGGGCCCGGAGAACCTTGAGGCCCGGGAGGTCCAGGTGGTCCTGGCGGGCACCTGATACAGTCACTTGGAGGAGGAGGGCAGTGAAGAGGAGCATACACAGTTGTGTCGTCTCTTCCAGGAGGACCTGGCGCACCGGGAGTGCCTTTAATCATACCATTTATGATAATGTATTGTCAGGTTAAAAGATTACTTTTTACCTGGTCGTCCAGGTGGTCCCGGAGGACCGGGTGGACCAGGTAGACAGGTAACAGGATCGGGTACGCATTTGCACCATGGTGGCAAGCCAGTCTGCCTTTTCTGACGGAAAATGGAGTCAAAAGGATTTTTGCGAGATGAATCAGAAAATGGAGAAGCAAGCAGTTGCACATCCATCATCTCAATCCATGCCAAATCCGTCTCTATTCGGAATGCTGCTACCGCATCAAAGACCTGACAGGAAACAATAAAAATTTTTTTGAAATAAGCTGCCTCTAGCTGCGGCTGTTACCTGATTATGGATTTCGCTGATCTCATCATATAAGGAAGATACAATTGCGAGACAGGTTATGACAGCTAACACTGAGCCTATGGATGCGACAATCACGAGTTGTTTTTCAAGGAGCATGGTACGTTTGCACATTAGCTAAACTGCTTTTATATCGTTTCTCATGAATTGTTCTATTCTCAATCATCCTCATGAAGGTTCTCTTGCCGCAGCAAAAAAAAAGTGCACGCAAGAAGAAAAGATTTCTGGCGTCATTGAATAGTACAAGGTAACTACACAATTCAACGATTTTTTTT